GTACTAATTTACAACAGAGATAATGGAATGACCAGTACTAATTTACAACAGAAATAATAGACAGGCCAATACTAATTTACAATAGAGATAATGCACTGACCAGTACTAATTTACAACAGAGATAATGGAATGGCCAGTACTAATTTACAACAGAAATAATAGACTGGTCAGTACTAATTTACAATAGAGATAATGCACTGGCCAGTACTAATTTACAACAGAAATTGTAGACAGGCTAATACTAATTTACAACAGAAATAATAGACAGGCCAGTACTAATTTACAATAGAGATAATGAACTGGCCAGTACTAATTTACAAGAGAAATAGTAGACAGGCTAATACTAATTTACAATAGAGATAATGCACTGGCCAGTACTAATTTACAACAGAAATTGTAGACAGGCTAATACTAATTTACAATAGAGATAATGCACTGGCCAGTACTAATTTACAACAGAAATAGTAGACAGGCCAATACTAATTTACAACAGAAATAATAGACTGACCAGTACTAATTTACAATAGAGATAATGGACTGACCAATACTAATTTCTGATTTAAATCTCCTAGCTTGCGTCTTTAACTTTCTTAGACGCCGTGTACGTCAAAGCCTTAACACGACGAAATGTCACAAAGATTGGCGTTGAACCGACTGAGGAATGAGATAAGGTTCTTTATAATGTCATCTGTCCACTGATTAACAGCATACCACACAGATGCAAAAACATCTTTAATGCCAGGGGTCCATACTCGTTACTGTGACCATTTTAAACGAGTTGCACCCGTCAGATCATAACTGTTGTCGTTCTGAATTTGAAAATACTCATGTCTATAAATTGTAACTAACAAAGTATTGCTGATGAAACTTAATAATTAACTGTATTCAGTGAATCAAAATTGCTGTTAAATTTATGTTTCCTTGTCGACGTGATCGAAAAATAGTTTATCAACAAAACTTTCATTTTTTATGTTTTTCAGTAATTTACATTACTGTTGGTTCTGTCTCTAATTTGCACCTTATACGTTTTAATGCCATGTTTAAACTTCAATGTTTATACTTCAGTAGTTTTAGTTATATTTTAGTTTTAGATATAGAGATGCTTGAATACTCTTTGTTCCCATCAAAAATATTTTACATCAAAGAGCGCTTTTCAATACTTGTTGTACGTGAGACAGGTTTATATTATTGATTCCTTCGTACAACTTAGTACGTCCTTTTGAAATTCAACCACGCATTTCCCTAGATACCGTAAAGTGGACTCAGTATTTACCAAGGTTGTTGAAATGGTATTACTATGACTGAAGTCATCTTAGCGTGGAGACTGGAAATAACTACGAACTTTACTTCACTAACAAAGTTTCCTGGAGTAAGAGTAGAAAGCAACAATAGACACAATACTTTTTTAAGTTCGGTTAAATTATAAAAATGCTTTAAGCAACTACACATAAAACATTTTTACTTTCGGTGTAACTATAGAAAAGTTTAAACAACTAGACACAATAACGCTTTTACTTTTGTTTTAATAATAAAAACGATTTTAAGCGACTACACATATAAAACGTTTTTATTTTTGGATTAATTATAAAAGCATTTTAAGCAATTATAGAAACAATACAATTTTATTTTAGGTTTAATTATACAGACATTTTAAAGTAACTACAGACACAATATGTTTTTATTTTTGTTTTAATTATGCAAACGTTTTAAGCAACTACAAACCCCAATCCATTTCTATTTTTGGTTTAATTACCCAAACGTTTTTAAATCAACTACAGTCACAGTACGTTTGTATTTTTAGTTTAATTATACAAATGTTTTTAAGCAACTACAGACACAATAAGTTTTTAGTTTTGGTTTTCAACAATTACAGACGCAACACATGTTTTTATTTTTAATCCAGCGATAGGAAGTTTTTAAACAGTCATAGTCTCAATAGTTTTAAGGGAAATAATAAAATATTTCCCTTTCAATATTTTCACCATGAACTAATACAAGTATGTAGAGTAAAGCTAGAGAAAGATGTTTTAGTTATAAAAGGTTCTTAGTACGGGAAACAAAGATCAATACATTTCCAGATATCTCTCCAGCTTGGCTGAGTCGTTGTTAGGCGAGTAAACAACGGATATCAAATTATAAAAGAAGTTAAAAGAAAAAGAGTTTAGAATCGGAATTGGAATTTTCAGCCTGAACAACACGTTAGGCACACATGATCTAGGAAGCCAAGTCAGAGATTCCTATGATTCATGTATATCTGCCCCTAACTACTTATCAGAAAGATGGTAGTTAGCGTGCAGCGCTCTCCGCCTCAAGGGCTTTATCCGGATTTTTTATTAAAATGATGGGATTGACTGTAACTTTTATAACACGCCTATAACTAAAAGTGCACTGTTGGTTCTGGTTAGAGGAAAACAAGAGCGTTATAGGTTTTTCATTTCAAAACATATACCTAGTTATCTGTTCCTCTCTCAGAGACTGTTAAAAGTAATTGGTATATGTTGGTTTTATTAGTTACTAAATTAGTTACGCCATAACTTATCCTTTGGCTATTAAGTCAACCCAGTTAATTGGATGACAAGTTAGCTAGACATGCTGCAGTGCTTGTGGAGAAATCTACATAAATTAAAAGACAAATTTAACAGTCTATTGTTTTCTGATTGTGCCAAATATTAGTTGGGATGAAGGTTGGGAAGATATTAGTTGGGATGAAGATAGGTATTTTTTTCATATCATCCTTAATCTGATGGACTTTTCCCAATTTAGAATCTTTACTGAACTGACTGGAATGATAATTTTATACTCTCTTACTGAGCAATAGAGGAACAGTCTATTGGCTGTTCTGTGAATGATATAATGTTTTGATGTGGTGTATGGCTCACTTATGTTTTGTACATAGTTACTCATCACCTAGACATGGCAGGTATTGCTTCAGCTTTAATATCTAAAATTTGGACACTTACTACGCTGACATTATGAGATATACCAAAGTTTCCATTTCTACGACATTGAAGTTTTTAATGTTTCATCAACACAAGATTCTAGTGATTTTAAAGTATTAAAATCATTGGAGAACTTGGTGGACATCGTGGTTTCTAATGTTTGATCAACACAAGATTCTAGTGATTTTAAAGTATTAAATCATTGGAGAACTTGGTGGACATCGTGGTTTCTAATGTTTGATCAACACAAGATTCTAGTGATTTTAAAGTATTAAATCATTGGAGAACTTGGTGGACATCGTGGTTTCTAATGTTTGATCATGCACGAGCAATCACAGAAAAACATTTTTCTTGATAAAGAAAAAGTCAGGGAATCTTAGATTACATCAAGGAAATTTGATATTTTACCGATAAGTAAGGACAATTCGGTGCTTTTAACGAAATTTGATTTCAGTAATTTTGTTCCTGCTATCAGTATTTTTAAACATCACATACTATACATAAAATATTTATAATACCTAGAATGTGTACATTTATACAAGATATGTAAACTATTACTACTATGGTAGAACTGAAGACCGTAAGATAAGTGAATTTAGTAGATGGGAGGAGAGGACGGGTGTAAGGGATGGCAAGAGACGCGGTTAAATACTTTTTGTCATAACTTAATCGGGGAAAATACTTTAAGAGCAGAAACTATACGAAGAATGATCAGGAACTTTTGATTTGTCTTATGGCTGAGAAACCTGCATGTGCAGTAGTTGCCCATGATAGTTAATGGATGACTCGTTGGTGTTAGATCTTTGCTAATATATTTTAAATGTGTAAGCAGTTGGATAAATAAATGAAAGAACTACTATTAAACAAAAGATTTCGTAGTTAGTTTAACTAGATAATGACCAAAGACGCCTCTTGCGAGTAGCCTATACTGCACTTAATATAATATGGTAAAAAGTACTTTCCCATGTCTGCTACATACAACCCCGACTACAGAGGGAACGGAAGTTGATTTTTTTTTTTAATCTCTGAAGTATACTGCGGCTAACCGCAACATAAACAGTAGGACTTCCAATGTTTGGTTCATAAACCGTAATGACAGTAAAATAAATATTAAAATTCTGTATGCGTGATTTATACCGCAGATAAGCTACTAAAACATTCTTCCGGTGTCAGCTGTGGACAACATGAACAGGATCACTTTTTGTGAGGCTTACACCGAAATTGATATAGACTAAACAGAACCAGACATGAACAAATATCAAAAAATCGACGTCTGATAAATGTTATCGTTTAATATGATAATATGTAGGTAGTTAGGTCAGATTAGCACTTAGCTATTGTAACACACAACACAATATAAAGTGGATGGTATTTGATTTTCTTTCTATTGCATGAAATGAGAATGCATCAATATCAACTATAACTCCTCAATTTTAGTAGCAGATATTACTGTATGAGGAATCCATTGATGTAATGCCTAAGAGAAACTTACATTTAGAAATACTGGAAACTAATCCTCTATAATATATAGCCAACTTGATCGAAGACATCGAAAATGTGCTAGAGTAAGTTAGACATAATTCAATGAACAACTACAAGCATCAGGAAACTGTATTTATATCTTTGCTCAACGTTTCAATTATGCAATTTTGTCGGGAGCAGCCTATTACTAAGACTGTTAGATCCACTAGAAGAAGTTACATAAACGAAACGTTAAATAAAGAAATAAATTCATTTGCACAAATTATATCAAATTGCTAATCCTTTTTTATTCTTATTTTCTCTGTAACGTTCTTAATTTTTAACTGTTATTATTTGTAAAATATTAATGATAAAACGAACAAAGGCGGAAAAGTCGTGCATATCACGTACGCCAGTTCCTGGAAGTACAAACTCAATAATAACACAGTAGACGACTAATACAGACATCCAGTTCAATAATAAATGTCTGCTGACAAAACTGCTACTGGATGGCATCATCTTTTGAAATTATATATGATGAATTACTTTAGGATATAGTGGCTATATTCTTACTTATAGCTTAGGAAAAACAGCCCCTACCTGTGAAGGTTGGCGTTACCAGGAAAGCAACAATAGTTAACAGTTGAATTCCAATTACGAAAATTGACGTCATAGCTGCTTGGTTATGGAGAAGCGGGTTGGCATTTTCTTTTCAAATCGCTGAATAACGTATACGATGGTTGCAAATGTCGTGGTCACCGAGAATGTTTTTCGCCTTTACGTTTCGTCGTTTCTTTTAGGAGACTGTCTGCAAAGGAGAAATATAAGTTGACTTTTGATAAAACTCAACATAGTTAATTTTTTTTCCAGGTCCGACCTTACATACTAAGCCCTACCGTGCTTAGTGGTGTTATGATGTTCCCCAAAGATTCACAGAAACTTAGTGCTATATATCTATATATATGTAATAATAATTCATACGAAATAAAAATTTTCTACTGTCAAAGTATACAGCTGCAAAAATATTCAATGTAAATGATGGAAACATAACTAACGTATCATATAATTAGATTCCTTTAAAATTCTGTTATGAACACAATAGAAACTTGAAGTATATTTTGTGTAATGAAAATTATAGTTAATAAAGTTTTAATTCGTTATTTCTTTTTTTAGTTTTTGCTTTTGAGCACAAAGCTACATAATGAACTATCTCTGTTGTGCCCAACTGCAGGTATCGAATCCTGAATTTAATTATATTAAAACCAGCAACCTTACCCTTGAACCACCCTAAAGCAATTAGTCATTAATAAATAATGATAAAAACGTATAACACCAATCTAGATATCTACTTTAAGATCAATGTGCTATTCTTGATAGTCATTTAAATTATGTACTCACTGTTATAATATTTGTAGTTCCATAGTGGATCAGTGGTAAGGTTACGAACTTACAACACTAAAATCAAAGCTTCAATTTTTCGCGGTGGACAGAGCGCATATAGTTTATTATGTAACTCTGCGCTTAAACAAACAACTTAACAGTTAGATATAAGATAATAAAACTACTTTAAAAGTGAGTGAACGTTGAAATGAGCAACATATATAGTATTCCTGTGTTTTTAAAAGAAACTATCATCACGTTTGTTGCTAAACTTGCTAGCCTCGTGATACATAGGAACGACTGATTAATTTTATGAATTATATAAACCCCCAGTGTCCCGCTGAAAGTTTGAAGCTTTATAATTATATAAACAGAGTTTCGATACCCGTGATGGGCATAGCACAGATAACCCATTGTTTAGCTTTGTTTTTATCCACAAACAAACAAACAAATTATATAATAAATGTATTATTGATGGTTCATTTGTAACTGAATAAACTTATGCTTTACCATGTGAAGTGTAATTGAAAAAGTCAATCATTCAATAATTTTTTTTTTAAGTTTGAGGAAATGACATTTTTAAAATTATATAATTAGCTCATATGAACACTTAACTATGTAATCACAACATAATATAAAGTGATGGTGTTTAAGTATCTTTCTTACCGCTAGATGTCTTATAACATAGCATAAAATCAATTGGTTTATTTTGGTGTTTTAGCTCAAAGTCATATCGGACTATTTGCTCTGTCCACCGCGGGGAATCAAATCCCAGATCTTAGCTTTGTAACTCCGTAAACTTACCGCTGACCCACAGGGTGATAAAGGGAACCAGACTGCAGGTAGTAATACCACTATCAACTATTTCCCCTCAATGCTAATAGCAGGTATGACAGTTTGGAGAATTCGCTGATGTTTTATTCACAAATATCTGATGAGATAAAACATTTTTAAGGCGTATCTAATGCTGAGATAGGTATGGGCCGGAGCAGAAGATGGATCAATCTCTTTAGCAGGTTTTATTTCCGAACAGATCGATGAAGAACATTCCTGTTTTATTTAAAAAGTGAACGATATGTAGGTTAATCAATCTTGCAATCTGGTATGAAAAGCAATCTGATGGTCATGAGAGATTTTGTTCACTTTCAGTATATGCATGTTATAAAAAATATTTTTTTTCTGATAAAGTATAACACAATATGGATACGCCCGATTATCATGTGACTTTTGAGATGTTGTTTTAGTTGACAGACCATAAAAAAAATTATAACTTAATTTTTTTTTAATTTATGAAATATAAATTGGGTTACAATACTTGTCTCACGAACAGTACTGCACGTAAATAGCAAAAAAGTACATTTGTCCAGAAAAGACAATCTACGCATGAATATAAAAATATATACAAAGTTACACGAAGAACAGTAACTTTTACCTGTGTCAAAAAAGTGTGTACATAGTAGCAGTAATTTAGGCTACAACCTGTAAAAATAGTAAGCTTATTTCAGGTCACAAAAGGTGTTTCTTAAGGCGAGTCAGACATCTGCAACGTCTAACCCATTTAACGATTTAAAATTTTTCTCTGCGTCGTTTTGTAAAAAACAGTTGTATAATAAAAAGGAAAGTATAGTATGCATTGACTTCTTAGTGTTTCAATATAAAACTGTCACAAACGTATTACAAAATTATTATCAGATACACAGAAGTATGGTATTTACAGAAAACTTTAAAAGTTCTTCGTTTCATTGTCTAATTTATGTCTTTATGCTTTGTTCAAATATCCTTACATAAATAGCCAAACTCTTTTAAAGAAGTGACAGTTCTTTGTTTCAAATTATACTAGTAAGTATTGCATCGGCCCCATTGTAAGAGATCAGTTAAATTACAGGCACATGAGCCGTTTATTTACAAAATGGCCTTCCGACAACCCTTTAACAAAAGAGTTGGGTTGACTAGATGTGACAAGCCTGAATCAAAGAGTGGTTGCAGCCTTCTGTAAACATCTTAGCAAAATAGTTAGGTTGACCGGGTGCGACAAGGCTGATACAAAGAGTGGTTATACACTTACCTATAAATAAACTGAATCATCCCCATTAGATTGTTTGTTTGTTTGAAATCAAGCACAAAGCTACACAATGGGCTATCTGTGCTCTGCCCACCACGGGTATCGAAACCCGGTTTCTAGCGTTGTGAGCCCGCAGACATGCCGCTGGGTCACTGGGGTGCATCCCCATTAGAACATAATTCAATAAATAACAAAAACAAAGCACGTTTATAATCAAAATCACTTAAATATGAAACAATAACTTATTTTTTAAGAACGGATAATTTTTGAACACAAGAAAACCTAAAATTGTAGTTAAACTAAAACAAAACTAAATATCTTTCAGTGTTGAAAATATTGTATTAATCTTAATAACATATGAAGAATTAAGTTCGTGTTTGTTTCTACAGTTGGGTGTATTGAGCTTATTATTACATTTTAATGTGATTTACAGTACAATCGTTATACAATAACAAATGTTTTGAATAGAGAATGAAACTTTCAGGTTGATGGATAATCATACTTTTTAAAAGTATTTCTTGTACATTCTGTCCATTTGTTTTAATATTAAGCTCCGGATTTTTACTGCTTTCTGGACGAAATGTCGGTGTTCGTCTGGACACTGGTTACTGTTTAACTGGATTCATGACTCAAGTCAAACCAAATCAGACTAGAGAATTGAAAATATTATTAAAACTTCCCACAATAGTGCAAACAGGCAGTAGAAGGAACTAAAGTTTCAGACACAAACGTGCAGACTTTTTTTTCTTAGTTATGCATAAATTGTTATTCAGAAGCCTCGAATTAGGTTTGATAAAGCATAAAATACAGTATTTGGCAGAAAGATAATACAAAACTGACCAAACTCTTTTCAGAAATAACAATTAATTTAATCTCTCATAACTTTTACTGTTACCGTGTTAATTAAAAAAACATAAAGATTATCTAAGAAACTCGACTTTTTTTCGTGCTGCTTCGACATTTAAATAATAGCAGTCAACATTTTTTACCATGTTGAATGTCAACACTTTAGGAAATATTTTTATTACGCCAAGAACATGTTTCAAATCTAATTAAAAAACAACAAAGATGAATAAGACTCTAAGATGAAAATTAATTCTTGAAAAATTCAAATCTCAAAATGTTAGTAAAATGGAATTTTCATAGCTATGCTAGGTTATCCACTAGTAAGGATAAACACTTTTTAACAGTAACCCGAAGCTATCAAACTCACATGACAACGTAAAGTTAGAACAAGGGTGGAAATTCAACTGTTTATCCAACGGTGTTTTTTACCGGAAGTCGCCGTGACCCGACTGACATGAAGATTAGCTATGCTTTCTAACTGACAGCTATAACAGATGTTACCAACTAAGAGTGTTTCAGTGTTTCGACCTGAAACGAATATTTTCCTATATGCTTTAGTGTTATAATAAACAATAGCTGAAGGTTCAACATCGCAATTATTGAAGTAAAAATCAAATGAAAGTTTAGCTGTCGCATCATATGTTTATTTAGAGTGGACTTCAGTAATTTGATTCATGTGTTTCTCACTAATTCATATGACTATCCTATTTTCAGAATTACTTGTTGATAAACTGACGATATTTTTCTTATTTAGACGTCGCTTATGTATTCATTATTAACAATGGCTTGTTTATTAATTGTGTACTAAAGTTGAAACAATGCTTTCCATCACGTAACGTACTTACATTTAAAATTTTAAATCAACTACAACGTGGTTCAGATACTGAGAAAAACACACATTTCCAGAAGTACATTAGAATCAGATAAACATAGTGGGACCATATTAAATCAGATGTAGTTTATCTTAATGTTAATCCAGGATGCATTAAATACATCCTGTAATCAAGTTTTATAACCCAACTTCATATGCATTTTTGAGTTTGGAAAACAAAATGTTCGCTATTGAATTTGACCCTTTTAAAATTTACACCATAAATTCTACTCTGTTTTTAGAAATTTTATAATTTTATGAAATGTATTCTATTTGACTAAGTTTTGGGGAATGGAATTCAGAATCTAAACAGAGGTTTTTAATCTCAGAAACTGTAACCTAAGAACTAACAATCTCAGAAACTACAATCCCAAAATCTGCAATCTCAGAAACTGTAAAATGTGCAAACTAACGTCTACATTTTTAAGTGTTTAATTATTTCATGGAAGTGATGTTTTTTTCAAACAGCTCATGCGGAACAAAACGACATGTTTTAAAAGTATTCTTATTTTAAAGTTTGGAGATGGCTTGATTGTTTGTTTTGTTTGCTTGTTTGTTTGAAGTTAAGCTCAAAGCTACACAATGAGCTATCTGTGGTCTGCCCACCACGGGTATCGAAACCCGGTTTCTAGCATTGTAAGTCCGCAGG